CTAACTAAAACATTGCAATATCTGCAATCATACATTATAAAAAAAGCAAAAACATGCAATCATACATTCACGCATAGAATCAATTTGATACCATCTCAAGCTAAGCTTGATCTTCTCCAAGTTTGGATCAATCCAAGCTTAATTTGAGCTCAGTAATGACAACCAATAAGCTGATTTGCTGATGGCAACTTTGGATTACAGAAATATGAAGCAAGCCCGTTATAAACTTCAAATAGTAAGAAAACAATCACATTAAAATTAAAAAAAAAAGGAAAAGGAAACGTTTGTGAGCTAACAGAAACCACAAACAATAAACAGGTTGGCAATAATTCAAAAATTCATTAAAAGCCAATGCATCAAAACAATGTATCACTGCTCAAATGCTTACAAATGTGAATAAATATTTGCTAAATCGGTTAATTCTATATGCTACATCTGTGACGTCTATGCATGCATGCTATCTTAAGCGTTTAACTTAAAAGGATTTATAGATCAAATCGACTTCACCTTATTTCGAATCGATATATCGAGCACAGCCCAAAATACATCCATAATTCAGATAGCAAGGACTAAAATCAACACAACACTACTTATCAATGATATCATCAATCAGTTGAAATTACAAGAAAAAGAAACTGAAACAAAAGCGAACAGCAAAAAACAGGCTCCATAAATCCTGCCAAAAAGCAAAAAAATGCCTTTGCTGATATCATGACCGACTGATGTCATCTGCTATTTGTTCTCTTAATGTCGCCATTTCTGATGCACCTTCACCCTCTCGAGTGCATGCAGCTTCTGAACCAAACTCTTCATTTATTGAACGTCCCACATGATATTCAAATGCTTCATGTGGGATTTGAACTGAATCATCTTCTACAATGGCAAACTCCGTATCCGATCTGGAAGGGTGGCGTCGGATGAAATTGTGTAGCGCCATTGTCGCAACAACGATTTGTACTTGCTTTGGAAAAGGGTATGACGGCATATCCCGTAATATGACCCATTTCTTCTTCCACACTCCGAATGCTCTTTCAATTACGCCGCGCAATGAAGAGTGTCTTTTGTTAAAAGCCTCTTTTTTGCCTCGTGCGACACCACTAGACCTTTCAAAATCCGGAATGTGGTACTTCGTATCTGGGTAGGGCTTCAGATATCCCCTTTGCAATGGATATCCAGCATCAACCAGATAGTATTTACCCAGAGGTGGATGAGGAAATCCATGTCTGAAGTTTCTGGTTGCGAACTTGAAAACACGACTATCGTGAGCACTTCCTTCCCATCCAGCCATGACAAAAGTAAAGCACATATTGAAATCACATACGGCCATAACATTTTGTGTTGGGGCGCCGCAACGAATGCAAATAAAATTCTAGAAATTGTTCGGGTGTTATTGCTAATATTACTTCTTCTTTTTTTTTTTCAGTTTTTGCAATCGTATATTATAGGAAAATTTTCATAGATGGTAATATCCGTTATATTCATCAAAATTGTCAATTTTCTTAGGGCTGTGGGGTTTTAATGAAAAAACATAATTTTTATCATTTGCAATCATTTTTTTACTCTTTCAACCTTCATTCTGTCTTCTATTACTTATGGATAATTACATGCAGACCGCCCGAAACATTGATATTTATATCTTCATCCATCCTGCAGAACTTGAGAAGCACATTCCTGACCTCCATGTTCTAATCACCACCCCCTTCCACCCCGCATACGTCACCGCCGAACGAATCAAAAAAGCCAAAAACCTCCAACTCCTCCTAACCGCCGGCATTGGCTCCGACCACATTGATCTCAAAGCCGCCGCCGACGCGAAGCTCACCGTCGCTGAAGTCACCGGAAGCAATGTCGTGTCCGTCGCAGAAGACGAGCTCATGAGAATTCTCATTCTCGTTCGAAACTTCGTTCCCGGTTATCAGCAGGTCATCAATGGCGATTGGAACGTTGCCGCAATCTCTTATCGGGCTTACGACCTCGAAGGCAAGACCGTCGGAACCGTCGGCGCCGGCCGAATAGGAAAGCTTTTGCTGCAGCGGCTGAAGCCGTTTAATTGCAATCTCCTCTATCACGATCGGTTGAAGATCGATCCGGAGTTGGAGAAGGAGATCGGAGCGAAGTTTGAGGAAGATCTTGATGTTATGCTTCCTAAATGTGATGTTGTTGTGATTAACACACCTCTTACTGAGAAGACAAGGTAAACTATTTCTCTTTTTTGCATCATAATTTATTTTTACATAATATTGAGTTGGAATCTGGTAATTACATTTCTAATTACATTTTGGGTGAAAAATGCAATTTTGTTTTTAGGGGATTGTTTGATAAGGAAAGAATTTCAAAGTTGAAGAAGGGAGTTCTTATTGTTAATAATGCTAGAGGAGCTATTATGGATACTCAGGCAGTAGTGGATGCTTGCAACAGTGGACATATTGCAGGTAATTCTGCTGAATGTGCTGAAAGATTGTAAAAATTATATATATTTTTTTAAATTAAATCTTTTAAAATTAGGAAGATTTACATAATTACCAGTCAAGTTCTGTGTATTTACATATCTGTCACCCAAACTTCAATTTTTACATGCATGTCATCTTACCTGTGCATGATAAGGTCTATTTCTTCACATTTTTAAAGTCAGAATTGTGATTTTTTTGATGAGATATGAAATATTTGAGAGGTGTAAATGTAAATAAGGTAAAGTTTGGGTTTTACATATATAAATACATAGAAATTGAGTGCTCTAGAAAATGAATGAATTATCTCACCATCTATGTCATATGTTACAGTTCCTTTTATGCTTTATATTATATATATACGTAAATAATAGGAAGATTTACATACATACCGCTCAATTCCTGTGTATTTACATATTTAACCCCTAAACTTCAATTTTTACATACATATACCATTTTTCTATGCAAGAAAAGGTGCATTTAAATTTTTATCTAAAGTTAGAATACTGGTATTTTTTATGTGATGCGAAAGATTTGAGTGGTATAAATACAAGAAAAGAAATGTTAAGGGTGTTAGATATGTAAATACATAGGGGTTGGATGGTATTTATGCAAATGCCCTTATATATTATACTGTATTATATTATTTATTTAATAGATATTCATAATGGTTTCAGGCTACAGTGGTGATGTGTGGAATCCACAGCCAGCTCCAAAAGATCACCCATGGAGATACATGCCAAACCAGGCCATGACTCCTCATGTTTCAGGCACAACCATTGATGGCCAAGTAATAACCCCAAACCCCTTAAACATTTATTTATTGTAAGTTTTACATATATACCATTGAATTCTTACACATGCATTTACATATCTAAACACCTAAACTTTAATTTTTATATACATGTCCATATGAAAGATTTTAGTAAGGTATGAATGTTTGTTAGATATGTAAATACATATGACTTGAATGGTATGTATGTAAATATTAATATGATTATAAAATTATGAATGAATGCTGATTTTTGAAGCTGAATATTTGCAGCTGAGGTATGCGGCTGGTGTGAAGGACATGCTTGACAAATACTTCAAAGGAGAAGACTTTCCTCAGCAGAACTATATTGTGAAGGAAGGCAAACTTGCAAGCCAGTACCTGTGAATCTGTGATTTTCACTTTCTACTCGGTCTGAGGGGCAGCTGCCTTATTATATGATCATCTAAATAACCCTTTGCTGGTGGAGTTAGTCTGGTCTCTGTGTATTCTCTTGTTTGATGCTTTGTGTGTGGGTGTGAAGTAGTTTCTATGGTGTTTAATGCAAATAAAATTCTAGAAATTGTTCGGGTGTTATTGCTAATATTACTTCTTCTTTTTTTTTTTTCAGTTTTTGCAATCGTATATTATAGGAAAATTTTCATAGATGGTAATATCCGTTATATTCATCAAAATTGTCAATTTTAATCCAGTGATTAGTGCTTCATACTCTGCTTCGTTGTGTGTGCACGGCTCTGTCAGGTGGTAGGAGAATCTCAACATGCCTATATAACTTCATATCCGACTGCTAAACTTCAATTTCTACATTTGTCACCTTATTTGTGCGTGAAAGCGAAAATGTTTATTTTATTTTTTGAAAAATTAGGATATCACGGTTCGATATGTAAATATATAAGAATTGGGTGGTATTTGTAGATGCCCCTATTTTATTTTATGTGTATTGCTCAATTACTAAAAATAGAAGAAAAGATGGATTTATGGGAATGTTATGTAATTTTTATGTATTTTTATATTAACATAAAGTATGTATTCATATAATATTCAAATCTTTATAAAATAACTTTAATTTTTACATTAATATCACTCAAAATTTTCATACCAAATAAACAATAGTGGCATTTACAGCTCAATTCTTATGAATTTACACGTCTAATCCGAACAATTTGTTTTTTACATTTATATCACTAAATTATCATATCAAGAATTCCACAAATTTTAACTTGTAAGGAATGAAATGAAACTTTTTATGTATATGTGAAGGTTAAAGCTTAAGGGTCTTTTAGAGTTAGATGTGTAAATAGGTATGAATTGAGTGGTATGTATGTAAATCTTCCTAACCTATATGCTCCTAACATATATGGATAAGGGATACACACACATCAAATTCAGTTGTTGGATGTGTAATTTCATAGGAATAAAGCGGTTTGCTATATGGATAGGGGACACACACACATCAAATTCAGTCGTTGGATGTGTAATTTCATAGGAATAAAGCGGTTTGGGAAAATATTTGCATACGTAAGAAGTACGCAGTGTGCGCACGTTGGGAGATTATTCAGAGGGTACAAGGGAGTTACATATGTGTTATACCCTCTTTAATCATCCTGTGATATATCTGTAATTTATCTGTAACCTACAAATAAGTTCTGCGTTTATGTAGTACTGTTAGTTACAGATAAGTTACAAGGAGATTACAAGAAGGTATAATATGTATGTAACTCTCTTATATTTTCTGAGATATTCTTCCAAAAGGTAGTTGAACACCTACAGTTTTTATTATTTTCACAAATGCCCTTCATTTCTTGGAAATGTATGCTTTCTGCGTAATCGACCGCCGCGTGTAGTGTTGATCGTCAACATCGGACGGCTAACTACTAATTTCTCGGGCAATTAGAAACACGCCTCAGATCAACGAGGGCGATACGAGAAGGGAAAAAAGTTGTAAGCTTTACAAACCCTAGCATTCAATTCATCTTAATTACATACAATTTCCTCACTGTAATCCAGATCTTTCATTTCGTTACGTTTCCCCTTTGTTTTAATTTACAAATTTTTATCTTTTTATTGGATTTTCCGATTCTTCTTTTAATGTTCTTTAATCAAAATTGTTTTGTAGATTTGATGATTCAGAAGACGATTCTTCTTTCCTTTTCAGTATTTTCCATTTGCACTTTTGTGATTTGTTTTGCAGTTCTTCGCCCCTTTATTTGGATTGCTGCGTTGTTAATGGGCAAATTGCCAGCTTTTTATGTTTGGATCTGAATTTCCAACTCTGAACAATAATTTTCTTACATCAAAATCAAATTTTTATGTGTTCACCGCCATGAAAACCTATTTGTTTTATAGTTTTCAGTATTTCAGAGATTGGACGATTTTCCTTATCAATTTTTTTCATTTCTTTTCAGATTTTTGAGGGAGAAATGGCGGAATCGAAGTCTGGGTTGAGGAAACCAGTGTTTACCAAAGTGGATCAGCTCCGTCCCGGCATCAAAGGCATTACAATTACTGTGAAAGTAGTTGACTCTAAGATAATCAAGCAGAAAGGGAGAGCTGATGGGCCTCAGTCTCGCCAAGCACGGATTGCTGAATGCTTGGTTGGGGATGGATCTGGAATGATTGTGTTTACTGCTAGAAATGATCAAGGTAGAGTAAATTTTGAACTTGTGTTTTGCCATTCATTAGGGTTAGGGAAAGTTGCTGTTATTGTAGATATGCTCTTATTGCCTATATTCAAAATTCTTATAGATTTACATATCTAACACCAAAAATTTGATATTTACACTTATAACACCTTGGTGTCATAAACCTATGCATGAAAAATGTGCATTTCACTTTTAAAAAGGTAGTGTTTTATGTAATTTTGATATGATGCTAATGATTTGAGTGGTGTGTCTGTAAAGAGGAATGTTAAGGAAGGCAGAGGTAAACCTAAAAAGACTTGGGCATATTTTATTAAAATGACCTTAATCTATTAGAATTAAATGACAATGTGACACTCAATAGGACACAATGGAGAAAAATGATTCATGCAGCCGAGCCCACTTAGTGGGATAAAGACTTGTTGTTGTTGTTGGTGTTGTTGTATGTAAATATAAATGTTTAGGTGATAGATATTCAATATTCTCATGTATTTACATATCTAGCACCCAAAATCTGATATTTACACTTGTAACACCTTTTAGTCATAAACCTATGCATGAAAAAGGTGCATTTTACTTTTAGAAAGATAGTGTTTGTGGTTCTTTAGATATGATGTTAAAGATTTGAGTGGTGTGTATGTAAATATGAATGTTTAGGTGATAGATATGCAAATACTTGAAGAATTGTTTGATATGTATGTAAATGCGCCTTGATTTATTGGGTTTATTAGTGCTCTTTTACATTCGTTTGATTGCATCTGAAGTTTATATGTATGTGCTTTTTCTATAAGGGGATTTTTGGTATCTTAGTTTAGGAAGGAAATAATCAGGAGTTTTCTTAGATATTGTCAAATAGATGTTTGGGGACTTTCTGATAGGACTGAACTTTCATTTGAATATTTATGTTTTAAAGGTATAAAAAAATCAAATATAACATATGATTATTATGAAACATCATATAATAAATATCCCTGATTTAAAGAATCTCTTGATTCCACTAGTGTTATCATTTCCTATGGTTATAGATTGATCAATATAAATTTAAAATTACTAACCTTGATTATTTGGGACCTTTTTATGTTCTAATAAAGTTTTTGTTCTAATAATTTTTTTGTTATATTAGCAAATCCAATAGGCGCTGAATATTGAAAAACATTTTCATAATATATGTTAAATCTGGTTAAATTGTAGATTTGTTAAATCACATTACGGAGAAGGGTAAATCGCCCAAGTCTTACTTCAGGGTTGATTAAATTTACAATATGGCCTAAAAGCATAGGAACACATGATTTAAGAGAATGGTCAAACATATTTGGCTCAAAAATTTATTTTGCAAGATTTATCATAAGTTTTATTTTGGATATATCCGCGATAGTGTTGGTGTAGCTCCAGTGAAGGACAAATTTAGAGAGTCATCTTAGATGGTTTGGTCACATTAATCGTCGACCATCGATGATCCGATTAGGAGAGTACATGTTTTAGATTTGACTTATGTTAAGAAAGACAAAGGTAAACCTAGGAAGACTTGGGCATATTGTATAACAATGATCTTAATTTATTAGAATTAAATGAAAATATGACACTAAATAGGATGCAATGGAGAAAAAGGATTCATGTAGCCGACCCCACATAGTGGGCTAAGGTTTTGTTGTTGTTGTTGTTGTTGGTTTTCATAAGTTTTGTTGAATCTTGCAACCAAACAGCTCTATAAAGATTTCTGCCTCTCACTAATCATAAATCTGCAAATAATTAGCCAAACAATCTATCAATATTTGACAGTTGCAAAGTCAAACAATTTTTAGGTTTTAATCATCTTAAGGTTTATAAGATTTACGTTATCAAACTTGCAACCAAGACGTCCCTAAATGATCTTTTTTAATTCATCAATGCTTCTTTTATTGGGGCATTTTGATTATTTTATTATTTTGGCAGGAGAATGATGCAAATTATGGAACAAGGAAATGTAATATTGTTTGATTGAAATAAACAGACATTACTCTTCTGGGCTGAATATAAATGAAATGACACATGTAATAGTTTGTTTTCCATCATTTTCATTATACCCTCAAAAGAAAAAAGTTTGCTAAATATTTAATCACATGGGATATATTTGTAAAATTCTTATTACTAAATCAAACTTATTTTGATTTCAACTAAATTAAAAATATATGATGCAAAATTAATCATGTTTCTGTAAGAAATACATTGCAAAGTGAAGCCAAACATCATAAATATAGGTACTTTTTTTCCAATAATAGATGACGTAACGATGTGATATGCTTATTTGCGTTGAAATAATAAATCTTTAGCTTATTTTATATGCTATGCAGCTTTAATGTTTTTTGTTAAATGTTTTGTGATATCTATCAGATGCCACATGTTTGGCTCAATATTCAAATGACATCCAAATATTTGTAAAGCTTGTACTAAACTCTTATTTGGATATTTTGTTTTTAAAGATGTATAAAAAAGATGAATAACAAAATATTATATAAAAAGTATCTCTTATTCAAACAATTGGGGTATAAACGGTCCGAGCTTGAACGAGCCCAATTCTTTCTGTGTTTGGTTCATTCAAATTTTATTTTGTTCAAAATAGACTCGTGCTCGAAATGACTCGTGAATAATATGCTCGTGTTCAGTTTGATTTGAATTTGTTTGTTTGTTTTAGCTTGTGTTCGGCTCGAATTTATCTTGAATGACTTAATAAAATTTAACAGTTTTTACACTGTAACATAAAAAATCAGTGTGAATTGTTATAATAATAATAATAATAATAATTATTATTATTATTATTATTATAACAATTTAATTTGAGCCAAAATGATTCAAATACCATCGAACAAAAATTGTTCTTGTTCGTCTAGTTTATAAATCAAAGCTAAAAAAATAGTTCGTGTTTGGTTCACTTGTCGAATGAATGAATTGAGCACATATTACTTAGTGAGCCGAGCCCAACTAGTTATCAAGCAGACACGAGTTATTTGCGAATGGCGAGCATTTTTTATAGCCCTACAAACAATCCTTACTTTTACTAGCGACATCCCAAATACTACCCATTAGTATCTTGCTTAATATCTATATGGCTCACAAAATACTACTCTTTGATACTATGTCATCTCCTTTAATTTTTTATTAAGGATTATAAGTTTGAAATTGCTAACCTTGATTAGGTGGAACCTCCTTATGTTCTGATATGGTTTTTTCCGTTAATGGTTTATGGCATGATTCAATTTTTTGTTTGCTCTTCATGGTAAAATCTTGGGGCATTTATTTACATACCACCCAGTTCTTATGTATTTACATATTTAACATATAAACTGTTGGGGCATTTATTTACATACCACCCACTTCTTATGTATTTAAATATTTAACATATAAACTTTACTTTCTACGATTATGCCATCCAAATCTTTCATAGCACATCAAAACACTGCTATTTTAATTTTTAAAATTGAATTACACATTTTTATGTATATGTAAGATGGTATACAATAACAACAATAAACCCTTAGCTCATTAAGTGGGCTCGGCTACTTGAATTTTTTTTTTTCTCCATGGTGTCCTATTGAGTGTCATATTTTCATTTAATTCTAGTAAATTAAAATCATTTCTTTAGTCAGCACACCCAATTCTTTTTCGGTCTACCTCTACCTTTCTTAACATAAGTCGAATCTGAAACATCTACTCTACTTACAAGGTCATCAGATGGTTGACGTTTTGACGTTTAACGTGAGCAAACCATCTAAGGCGAATATCTCTAATCTTGTTTGTGAATGGAGCTACTCGAACCCTTTCACATTTATATTCATTTCACATTTTTTTCTCTAAGTGTAAAGCACTCATCCACCTGAGCATTCTCATCTCAGTAACACTTAAGTTTATGCTTCTCTTTTATAGGCCAACATTTTTTGCCATAAAGCTTTGCAAGTCTCAACACTATTTATAAAATTTTTCCTTAATGTCTAATTTGTACTTCTCTATCACACAATAGGCATGATGCATTCCTCCATCTCCGCCATCCAACTTAAATTCTACTAATAACATTCCCATTTATATTACCGTCACTTTGAACAATATACTTGAGTTATCCAAAACATACACTTTATTAATTGCTTCATCACCAATTATTACAACCGTACCACTAGATCCACTACTACTAAAATTATATATCGTGTATTTAGATTTAGATCTACTCAGATGTAAGCCTTTAGATTTTAAAGCCGACCTTCATAAATCAAGTTTTTTTCTGAACTCTCTGTCTGTAATCTTATCCACAAACAAGTATGTTATCAGCGAAAATCATACATCAAGGTACATCCTCTTGTAAATGTCCAGTAAGAATATTCTTACCTCAAACAAAAGGATATTGGCTAAAGCTGAAATAGGAAAATCCAATTGAAATAGGAAAATATTCGGTCAATCTTCCTTATGCTCGAACCCAAGTAACAACTATAGCATACATAGCTTTAATCACTTGAATATAAACAATATCAACACTTCTCTTTTCTAAAACTATCCAAAGCACTTATCTTGATACGTTATCATAAGTTTATTTATTTATTTTTTTTATATCGATAAATATCATATTTATATCTTCTTAACTCTCTCTGTACTTTTCTATCAAACATCTCCATAAATGTATAACTTCTAGAGTAGACTCGGATGGCATGAATCCAAACTGATTTTGAGAAATTTTTGTATCACGTCGTATCATATGTTCAATTATTCTCTCCCATAACTTTAATGCATGACAAATTAACTTAGTTCCTCTATAATTTGCACATTCTTCTGCATCTCCTTTATTTTTAAAAATAAGAACAAACAGATTCTTTCTTCACTCATCAGGATGGGTAGGATGGTATGCATGTAAAAAATTGAAATTTAGTTGGTAGATACGTAAATACATATGAATTGTGTGGTATGTATGTAATAAAATCTTCCTATATTGAATGGAGGTGAGGACCTATTATTCCATGTTTTCAGTTAAATAATTTCTAATGATTGTTCAATACTTCTTACCAATTAAACATTACATCTTATGAGTTTATTTATTTATATGGTGATGTCAGAAGTAAGGTTGATCAGTATGCATGTTTGAAGTTTTTGAGAAGATGAAACTTTTTCAGTTTTAAATTTTGCAAACCTTGCAATATTGCGTTCCACTCATTTCATATGTATTTACATATCTAACTCCTGAACTTCAATTTTTACATATATATATATATATATATATATCACTTTATCAATGCTTGAAAAGTTGTATATCACTTTTTAGAAGTTAAAATAGTTATTTTTTTTCATGTGATATGAAAGATTTTGATGGTATAAATATAAAAAATAAAGTTTAGGTGTTAGAAATGTAATTACATGGGAATTATGTGGTATGTATTTTTTTAAAAGTTTGTGCTACCTCATGAGTTGGTCTTTTGGGTAATTTACATATGTAGTACACTATTCTTATGTATTTACATATCTCATGCCAAAAATTTCATATTTACATACAAAGAATTGCTTTGGTGCTTCAAGTCTATGCATTGAAAGCTATATTTGACTTTTAAAAAGTGTTAACAGTGCTATTGTGGATGTGATATTAAAGATTTGAATGTTCTGTAAATATGAACGTTTAGATGTGAGATATGTAAATATATAAGAATTGTATGCTTTTTATGCAAAAACATGCTATTTAAACTCACATTTTTTTGCTTCTTTGTGAAGTTGAGCTGATGAAGTCAGGTGCCACAGCGATTCTTCGCAACGCGAAGATTGACATGTATAGAGGATCCATGAGGCTCGCCGTCGACAAATGGGGACGCGTCGAACTCACCGAGCCAGCAAATTTTGCCGTGAAGGAAGACAACAACTTGTCATTGATCGAATACGAGCTGGTGAGCGTCATCGAATAGTTATCCTCGATCTTCGATCGAGGAATCCGATTTGCAGCCTGCAAACTGGCGAAAATTCTCTTTTATGAAGCCTTTAGTTTTCTCTTCTTATGTGTTCTTAGGCATCAAATTATCTGGGGAAAGTGTGCTAGAATAAAAAAATTGGGTTCAACGGTCAAAAGATTTGAAATTTGCAGTCTTCATAGAGGGCTTCTATTACATTCAGGACGAAGATTGTGTTGCATTAGGTATATATGTAAATTTTTTTTTTCTGCAACTTTTTGCATGCTCTGAAAGAAATTTCTTCCATTTCTGGTGCTGTTTTTGGCTGTTCAGACTTCATAATTATGCTTGTGTTTTTGGGAAGATTTACATAAATACTGCACAATTCATATATATATATATATATATATACATATCTAACACTCAAACTTCTATTTTTACATATATGGATGTGATATGAAATATTTTGATGGTATATATGTAAAATGTAAAGTTCAGCTGTAGATATGTAAGATATGTAAATACGTAGGAATTGGGGGGTATATATGTAAAAATATCCCTTTTGTTAAATACAGTTCCATATACCCTTTGTCTGCATTTTGTTGATAAAATTCTTATAGCACATATGTCTACATGTCTAACAACTAAACTTTCATATTTACAGCATTTAAATCTTTTATTTCATATAAAAATAATAGTATTATCTCTTTTAGAGGTGAAATATAATTAATGTAAAAAAGATAGTTTAATAAAC